TGAGGCTATTACTGCATTATGAGTAGAGGTAACGTTCAAGCAAATCATACGCCACAACACAACCAAGCGATGCAAATAAAATTTTACGAAACGCTAAATTGTTAAGGCAGTAAGAAGGATTCAACGCCGATGCAGATGAATAGGAGCTAAACGGCAAACCCCCGAAAGGGCCTCCCACATCACCATGCAAAATGATGCGGAATTGGGTCACGGACAAAAACCAGTGGTGAAACCATCTGTAATTCGAGCGTTGCCCAAAGCCTAATCGTAAAGGGCTTATCTGGATATGCATTTCAAACAGGTGCTGAAACCTCTCTTTCGTCAAAAACTATAGCCATTGGAACTCCGGGTTACCACGAACGGCTTAAACAGCGCAATAGTTTGTTTGGGCCTCGCTTTTATCAACGTTTTTCCTATGTACTTCATATACTGTTGTTCGAGAAAGTGAACATCTTATCTATTACTATCTACCCGTCATCAGATCTGATATGGCGGAATAAAACGAGAACAATGGACTAAAAAAATCAAGCATATACATTACACTGAGTCTCGGGCACCGGAGCGAATGTCCATTTGTTCGTAGTCAACCACCCTCGTAAATAACTGCCCGTTGGATGTCAGTCATCGTCTTGAGGTAATGATGGGTCGACGGTCGATAAATAGGCGCCATCCATGCTAACGAATTCTGGTAACTCGACCACGCGTCATCAAGTTTGCCGTTAGGTAATTGTAAAAGTCCAGAAAATAATGAGAATCAGACCGGTTGCTGGGTGGCCGTTTGTAACGTCAGTTTCTAGGACGCAGCCTCGTCACGAATGTGGTAGTTTGTCAAGTGAGTCACCGCCGAAAACGGTATCGAGGAAAATATGAAAATACCTTTGTACCTATGTACGGTGATTTTGCGAAAAACTGCGACTTTCATTTACAGATGTTTTATATGTACAAACACGCTCATCTGATTGTTAGTCATAATCAATCATGTCTGATGATTTTTTCAGCTCACTGAATAAATAAGGGGTGTTGCTGCACATTGTTGTATCGCATCAACAGCGAGATCCAGCAACAGTGATGACAGTATTTTCCCAATCACCAAAATGATGCGACATGCATATATGCACTGCAGCTGTGCCATGATCTGAATAAGTGGCTCTTTAAGCATCGTCTTGATGGACTGGTGAAATTATGTTTACTAGTTTATTAATAAGTTGCTTAATGAAACAGTTGAGCCGCTATGCGAAATTATCTGTTTTTCAAACCATTTTGCGCGTAGCTACCTTCACAGTATTAGTCATAAATTCTGGACACTAACCAAAAAAGTGTGATCTCTCAGTGAAGATGTAGAAATGAGCTACCTTCGTAAGACTGACACTGTGATCAGGTTAGACAAGTTTTTAAGGTGCTTAACGTTCACTTCTGCAACACAACATGTTTTGGGCAGTTTGTTATTCTTTGGCTTGAACTCTCAGCATTATTCCTTCATTTCTGAAACAATATATGCACTTATATGTCAACAGTTATTTTCTGATTGCAGCTTATAGATTCTGAGCTTATTTCTAGTAGCTTACGCATAGATATCGGTTGGTCTTCTTCACTTTCATGAATGAGTCATTTTGGTGCCCCTCTTTCCATGAAGTTGATGGTACGGTGCGGGATCTCCGTTTATAAGCCATCAGCCAAGAGTGCTTTATTTTAAAGGTAGAG